CTCTTATCTTTATCTCAGAACTGTAATTACCTTTAATAGGCAAAACATAATTATACTTTGGCATTGTAGTCTCCTACATGTGAAGTGTCTTTGGATGTTTGTTTTAAGTCAACTATGTTAATTTTTTCAGATACAGTATCAGAAAATTGGGTGGTGTCTTCAAGACAGGTCTCTGTATGATATCCAAATATCGGCTACTAGGAAATTGTCTTCCTTGAAACCTTGACAAGACATAAGCGCCTGTGTGTGCCAGGATGTTTATTAGGCCTTTTCATGATTGATATTTGACAGACACTAGCCTTGAGGACTCAAAGCCATATCAAAAACAAGCTGATATCTTGAAAGTGAGTGGTGGCTCACTTTAATATAAATAGTGTTTAGATATACCACATTTCACTTTAAGAGTGATAGACTCTTGGAGTACTCTTGGATGGAGTATTGTATTTTGATAGGACAAAAAACAATACACTTTAAAGATTTAATCAGAACAAATATATTTGATGTAAGTGTGCTTCTGCATACACAATAATTAAGAAGAGAGGAACAAGTAATAGGTTTATTCCATGCTGAAAAAAGAAGAAAGAAAAAAATGTTTTCTTTCTTTCTTTCCAGAAAACTGGGGTTTTCTTTCTTCTTTTTTCAGCATGGAATAAGCCTATTACTTGTTCCTTTGGAGCCTACGCAGCTACCCACTTGAACTATTAAGAAGAGAGGTATTACAAAAGCATTTAGTAACAGAAAACCAATATGTGTATAATCATGACTTACTACTCGCAAACAACTAATCCATATTAGTTTAAGTTATGGGGAAAAGGCAGCGTGTTATTCTTAAATGCCTGTGAATGAAAAACCCTTTCTTGAGCTCCTTTAATATGAATCTGTCACACCCAGTATACCTAGAGGGCACTGCTCTTCTGTCCTGTTCCTAGTTCCCTGTGATTATTCATGTCTTTCCGGTGTGTCTTGTGGTGAAGGCTATTTACTTCCTGTTCTGGTCTGCTCCTGGTTCAGTATTGAGGAGACGGATGTCATGAGACCCGCCTAGTACCAGGTCGCCCCAAGTCAGTGTAGGTTAGGTTAGTAGGTTTCTATACTGACATCTTCTGACCCCCTGAGCCTGGGCTAACCTCCGTGTTGCCCCCTTTTACCGCTATGCATAGGGTCTCTATTGCTCTCCTGGCCATTCCACGGCTTGCCCTTCCAACATCCGTAACAGAATCAAAAGTCAATTTGAATTTACCAGGCATGGGCATAGATGAGAACCAGCACAAACTAAAAAAGACTTAACAACAAGAAAGTGCAAATAGGAATATGAATATCATTGCCTGAAAGCTTACATTTTCTTTGCTCTTATCAGAAGCAAACCCTGCATTTTTAATACTTTTCCTAAAAATAATTTCAATGTTACACAGACTGCAGGGCACAATACCTAATTTAAGTACTCTTAAGTTAGGTTCTGAATAAAAGGTCCAGAATTTATTAATGTTTAAAGCAGAAGAGTAAAAATTCTACAATAAATGATTCAGTGCTGATTAGAATAGAAAACCTGATCATTTAGTAACAGGGTTAGGTCTTCTACACACAGTTTGCACACTTTGTGTCTCTGTCTGTAGGGGGAGCTACTGAGCCCATGCCGCTGCAGTGGGTCGGTACGCTGTACACACCAGCCCTGCCTCATCAAGTGGATCAGCGAGAGGGGATCCTGGAGCTGCGAGCTTTGTTACTACAAGTATCAGGTCATCGCTATCAGCACTAAGAACCCACTACAGGTCAGTGACACAAGAAAACATGAAAGATTAAAGACTTAGTGTGGAAAACTGGTCACTGTTGTCAGCAGAAAGATGGTTTGCACTTAGATTCAAAAGACTTCTCTGACAAAATTATGCCATTGCTTAGTTCAATGTTTAGGCTTGTATATCTGTGTTGAATTGTTACACACTTAGAAAAATGAGAGGAGGCTATCCAAAAACTTAGGTTTACAAATACATTGCATTGACTCAACATTTAATAGGCACAGTTTTATTTTAATAACCATTGGCAAAGTTACCAGTAATATTTAATATAAAAAACAGATCTGAAATGAAAAAATAAGAATATTTAAGTAATAAGTAATATTTCAGAAACCTTTGAAAGCATATGATCATTTAATTTTTTCCTGGGACAACGTTTATTGGCTACAAATATTTAATGTGCTATCCTTAACATCTCAGGCACTTCTCTGAAAACGTTCTCATGAGAAATGATGATGATCGCTAATGACTCCAAATACATATGCACACAGACATAACATGACCACTTTGCTTTTCAGAGCTTAGGATGTAGAGGATGCAAGAAGTCACAGCACAGTTCAGGGGGATTTAAATGAGATTGAATTTGTTATGAAAAAAAGACTATTTTTCAGAGAGCACCCAAAACAAAAATAGAGTGCATCCTCCTGTGGTCCCCTGAATTCAAGCAGTTTTCAGAAAGGTTTTGTAGTTTTTATAACGCTGCTCTGGAGTATATCTCTGATCACTTTCTAATGTTACTATGAAGTGATCATTGGATGTGCATTATGATTTAAACAAAATTTCGACACATAACACAACATCTGTTTCTGAAGTTATCTCTGCCTTTCAGTTAATCCCGAAATGTCACATACTGTATAACAGTCATTTTTCTGCAAAGAGTAAAATTAGAATGAACACAAGTCAGGTCCTGCAAGGAATTTACATTTAAATGAAACACATGCAACATTGTTAATAAGCGCAAGCAACAATTTGTTTTATTTTTCACATTTTGTTCCTCACAACATCCAGTTCAGCTTTCAGTAGAATCAAAATTAACAAGTACTGATACCGATACAGGTACTGAAGAATTTTTACATACAGTGCATACAAACTTCTTATCATCTACAAAAATGATAGCTCTTGTCAATTGTTTTCCTAAACCTACTGTAGGTTCCAGGTTAATTATTCATGTTAAGTAATTCATCTTAGAATATAAAAACATAAGAAATATCTTCAATGAGTACTGTATGTGCTTCAGAACTGGAAGAACAATTTTACATCTTATCCAGATCATTTCACCAGACTGGTATCATAGTCCCCAGGAAATAAATACCAGAGGATCCTGGGCCAAGAGTTTCCCTTCCTTTGTCTAGGGCAGTGGTTCTTAGTCCTGGTCCTGGAGTAGCCCTGTGTCTGCTGGTTTATGTTTATGTTCCAGCCAGTGCCTCAATTACCAGTGCTAATTGCTGCCTGGAACTGCTTGCTTGTTTAACCATTTATTAATGCATACAGTCCTTGATTTCAAAAATACCCCCAAATGCATTATTTCCTACAGCTTCAGCAAACATAACTTCATATTATCTCTTCCAATTTTCAATTAGACTTGATTTGCTAAACTGTTCAACTTAAAAGGTACTCAGCTGATGGTAAGCAGACATGGGCAGTTTGACACTGCATCAGACACCTTCCTTAGTAAATCAATGTTTTTCCTTCTGTTTGAATTCATGGTTTATATTTCAGTAGACACACCTGAATGAAGGCAGTCCTGAAGCTCACTGATCCACACAGGGGTCATACCAATTAGAAATATCATTTAACTTTTTATGAGCTGTGAACAAATTAAAAAAGCCTCAAACAGAGTTGAAATAAATTCACCTGTGATTATAAATTCAGTTATACAAAACCCAGAGGACAAAGGAGCATCACTATACAAGGGTATTGTTTAAACCAAGGCCTGAGTTAATAAAAAACCTAAACAAGCAAGCAAATCTACAGTATATTAGTGATAGAAAGAAGCACGGCTGATTTAGGGTCTCGGTGGTTAAAAACCACGATTGAGAACCACTCAAGGTTCACTAAGGCAATCCATTTTAATTGCTTGACCTTGACACTGATAGTGGACCTGTGCCTTTTCAGTGGCAGGCTATCTCTCTGACAGTGATTGAGAAGGTCCAAATTGCGGCTGCCATTCTGGGTTCTCTGTTCCTCATCGCCAGCATCTCTTGGCTCATCTGGTCATCCCTCAGCCCCTCTGCCAGGTGGCAGCGTCAGGACCTTCTGTTCCAGATCTGCTATGGCATGTATGGCTTCATGGACATTGTCTGCATCGGTGAGCTATTTTTCTATCTGCTGTGGGACTCTCTGAATGCAAATGCTCAGAGTAGAAAAAATAACCTAGGAAACACCCAGAAAATGTTGGCTCTAAGACAATATTTTTAATTCCCCATATCCTGTTTCTTGTTCCAGCTGAGTGCATACCTGATTAAAGATATAGCATCCTTTATTAGATATCTGTGATTAAGCTTTCTTGTAACAGTTTTATCACTAGACAGTTTATTGCAGTTGAATACTTGAAACAACTCTTTATCATCATAACCTGAAATCCATTACTGTTTTAAGAGAAGAAAATAAAATCCAGTCATCTCCGTTTTTGAATCAAGACTTAAATCACAGAGCTCAGATACACCAAAAGTCAGGACAAGGAACTGGAGTCACCAACCTCGGTGCTATGAATCACAGTCTGTGAGCCTTCATTAGATTCAGTTGGGACTGCCGATTAAAGGCATTTATTCAGAACACTACTCGTTTATTCAGCCACTAAGTTTAAATGTCACTAGTTTAGCCTTGGGCTATGTCAGCGGGGACTGGGAAATCTGAAGCAGTGGCTTACAATTGCCGAAGTGTTGGTAAAGTAGGATGGACGCAAGACATCCTTTTCCTTGTGTAGACGTAGCTACCCTCTGAGTCTTACAAGGCACCTGTGAGCTAGTAGAAATCCAATGTGGCATGTATCACTCTTCAGATTGGTGCTACTGTAGATCTTCTATAAGGTTATGTGTTGTTTGATGAAAACTGGAACATTGAAGAAATGCATTCTCCTCAGAGTTGAGGTGGCAATGGTCAGTCTAGTATATTATATAAATAGCTAGTCATTCCCAAATTGGGAGACTATAAAACAGATAAATGATTGCTGATCATACCTTGTTTTTAAAAAAGAAAGAAATGAATAATGGCAGAAAGGATTTCCTCTTCCAGGACTTGCTACTGTAGGTCTCGGCAATACAACTTCAAAGCGGTACTCTTCCTGAAACAGCATTTGTTTCTCAAAGACAATAAGTGACATTCACAATTAAATAAAACACAAGCAATGAGGGCGTGAAACTGGAAGGGCCATTACACAAAATTCAGCCCAAGTTGTACTGTATATTTGTGAAATGCACAGTACTAGTGATTTTACTGAGATAAATGTATTTTTTAAACCCATTCTAGAAACAAATTTAATGTTTGCCTTGAGTTCCCAGAGTTGGCCAAGTTGACCCTGCTCATCACTGATATGGTGAAAAGAAATGTTTCCTAAATGATGGTCACTTATTGAGTGCATAAGAAGACCAAGTCTAATGAGTCATCCTCCTTGTCCAAAACATTGATTTTCTTGCATGTTAAGCCACACAATTCACTGGTTCAATGTATTGTCTTTCAAAAGAGCTTCAGGCATACTCCTCATGTTATATGGGACTTAAAATTTCTTGTTTCTTGTTTAATTTTTTCGTTATAGTTAAATCCCAGGAGGTGAGTCAGGAGCTGGAGTATTGACTCTTCAGTTATTAGTATTTGTAGCAACCTTGAAGTGAGGCCTACATTTCCTGTCTCCTTCAGCCCACTGCTTTCAATACTGTTTTGTCTCCAGAGGCCCATTATCTTTACAGGCTCAAGGAGCCTTGGCCAGTGTAGACTCTCACTTCTGTAAAAAAGCATTTCCTAGACCAACCCTGGAAAAAAGATTGTAATAAAGTGGTGTTTTGACCTTTTGGGATAATTAAGAAAATGCATTGCCACAATGTGAATATGTAATGCAAGTTAAGATACCAAATAGACATTGAAATTACCTCAATTATGGTATGCATTTTAGTAATCTGTCATATGCTCTTCATTAAATTCATTAAATATATTTTTTCAATTCTTCATGGCTGCCAATAAAATCTATTTCAGTCATTTATTTTTTGTGAACGTTTTAAATAACTGTAAAAAGGAAAATAGACAATGGTCTCACCCATGACAAAAGGAAACACCCAAATAAAAAATAAATGCGACAATGGAATAGGTGACTTTGACTTCATTGATTAAGAAAGACCTACTTTACCTTTTCTATGTTTATCGTTGCTTAGGATCTTATTTCTAAATGACCCTTTAGTTTAGTTCTAATAATTGTTTCCATAACTCTCCATGGAACAGAAGTAAAACTATAATTACGTGGGTCAGTTTACTAATGGTTGGGATGGATGAGCATTAGTAGCAATTTTCCAGTCATAGGGTACAACCCCTCTCTTGAACAACTGCTATAAGAGACTTATTGTAGATTTATTCCTTAGTAAACACTTGAGTGAAGTATTAATTTAATACATCATCCATTTTGCTTTCAAGGTCTAGAAGTTTCACATTATATCAGATATATTTTGCTTCAATGATCAGTGTGCATTCACTGTTTTTCTGTTGTAATGCAGAAATAATCTTTTATTAATTTTATACTCCATTGCAATATTTCCCTCTCTTGACTATGCAATTCAATATACAGTATTCCTTTATTTTTTACTGGATCATTTTAAACTATTTTTATTGATATTTTATTAACATAGTTTTCCTAATTGAACTATAGAACCATTTAGACCGCCACTTTCTATGTTTTCATTTACTTACTCTCATGATACATTTGTTCTGTGCTTGAAGAGGAATTTAAGTTGTTGCTATCCATTGCATATACTGTATTTTGTGACCTTCTACTTATCTTAAACTGTTTTATTCCTTCAAAGTCTGATCTATTTTAATTGTAAGCATTTAATATGATGATCACAGGATCCTTAACGTTTGTTTTACCATATTGATTAAACCTGGTCCCATACCCATATAATCTAAAACCAAACTTAAGACAATCAAAAGCCTTCAGCTTGGCTTCCTAGCAAATCAGTGAAATGTGATGAGTTTGCAAAAAGTCAGCATCTTTATCCCTTTTCAGTAATGTTGATCTAATCATAGAAATAACAGGAAAACATTAATTGGTGTGGAGTCCTGGAGCCTGTAATTGCTATGGTGAACTGCCCATTAAATAAGACTGCTTAGATTCATGTATAAGAAATGCACAGCAAAGTCTAATTAGTGGATTTAATTATTTTTCCTATAATGTTGCTTTTCAATGTCATGACCTTAAAAGAATCAGTTTGTATAGAAAAAACAACTTCTCAATTAAGTAATTTCTGACGATGTAATTTATACAGTTGTGAGGCAAGTATAGTATAATGTATCTTTTAAAAAATGACTACATCACATAACGTTTCTATGTGGTTGACTAAACTGTGGTTAAAATTAAGAAATTCCTTCAATTCGCTTGATACTGCATCCAGAAAGTCTCATTTTGCAGTAGAGTTCTATTAAAAGTGCTGTAGGGCACTAGGGTGTGTTACAGGGCTCTGAGTGTGAGCATGTTACAGAAGCAACATTACCCACGTGAAACTTAGGCAAAGTAGAATTCTCCTGTGGCTGATAACCCAGTCTTTTTGAATTTTAGAGTTCATAACTCTTAGCAAGACTCAGTTTACTTAGTATGTTACAGAAGTAACATCATTCTCTCGAAACCTAGGTACAGTACTGTAGAATATTTACTGCTCAAAGGCACTCTGTAGGCTCTAAGCCTGTAGGAAACCTTGGGCAGGGATAGAGCAGAGCTGCACTAGTCACAAATGCATCAAGAAAAACAAGCCTGCAGAAACTGGCATTGAGAATGATATGTATGATCATACAGTAGGTAACGTATCTGCAGTGCGTAACAGAAAAATGCCTGGGGAAAACAATACTCAGTTCAGGAGATTTGTTTATGTCTATATCTAAAAATTATTTGTTTGAGAGGTGAAGCACTCAGACAAAGTAACTCACCTTCTGTAACACACAAAGTAACACACACAAAATAACACAATAACACATTAAAGTCAATACCAGAGTGTTCAATCCTTCAGTATATGATTCATATTAGCATTAATACAATATCAAAATCAGTGAATTCCAGCAGTGACATAGTTAGGAGATTATAAAAAAAACTTTAAAATCTGTAGTAGCATAACTGAAAACAAAAAACAAAATCTGAAAATATTTGTGTAAATTACTTTAGACTGCATAAGTTACAGGACAACACAAAATAATTAGACATGTTAGTCAGATTGGGCATGGAGAAGGGATGTGATAGGTGCTCCCAGTCGAGGTTCCTATTCTTTTTTTCATGTCTTTTTGTGTAGCAGGTTGGCGGTATGTTAAACAGCAAGATTAAGGACAACTTTATAATTTTATATTTTTAGTTATTAATTATAAATATACATTAATACACCTTTGGCATTGCATTTTGTTTCTGTCTAATGCTCCATCATGACTTGGAGTCATAACACCAATGCTCCCTCTTAGAGTACAGACAGCACATTTCCAAACAGTTCTCCCCAGCATTTTTACTCTTATCCATCCTAATCAAACATCTGAAAGAAAAAAAAAATATTTAAACAAATAAGGCATCACAGTAGGTGAAAAATACATTAATATGCATCAAAGATAAGTCCTTAATATTGCAGCTCCCAGTAGCTGCTGCACTACAGAAATCCGATGACTCCATCCACCAAGCCAAAAGACAAAAGTGTGGCACTAAAAAATAAAAGTAAGAAAACTGAAATAAAGATCTGACCTGGCTCTGGCTCTGACTGGCTCTTTTTTTCTTTATTTTTCTACTTTAACCAAGTTGGCAAGATCTTGTCAGGTCTTATGAACTCCTACTGCCCACTAGAAAGAAAGACATTAAGCAATGAAAGGTCCAGGAGAAAGTACTAGATGCCTGGCTCCTCGAGAATCACTGGACTGTGATTTGGATAAATATATGGAACATGGACAGATTGCCAGGTTTCTTTAAATACCTTTCTTTCCGGTTTCCATATATTGGAATGCAATTCAATTTTAATTCAACCTATGCAGCACGTTTTACCATAATTTGAGGGATTATCTTGTTTCTCATTGGCCATCGAAACAGTATGTGACAGTGGCTTTATGTAGAGTATATTCAAGAACCCTCCTTGATTAACAAAA